GTTTTTATTTTTTTTTTTTTTTTAAAAAAAAAAGGTTATCATGCAAAGTGCTGATCAGACATAAATTCATTCTGCCAGGTCAGGTTTTTTTTTCAAAAACATTTGTAGGTTAAATTTATATCAGCAGATTTTATGTAAGATATCATCTGTCAGCACCTGTCTAGCTTTATGCAAGATTGGGTATCATTTGTCCTCCCACAGACAGAATAAAAGCAGAAAACCAGTAAAAAACCCCATGCTGTGTACTTGGCTAACTCAAGAGGATATGGGGAAAGAGACAGGAGGAAATTAGGTTGCACTGAAATGGTTTGTACCATTTCACGAAATGTCATTGGGTTGCAAAACACGTTTCATATGCACAGACCAAAATGACTTGATAGGGACTTGCAAAGCAAGTAGAAACATAGTAACTACAGCCATTGCCAAATGGGAAAAGTAGAAGGGCTGGAGTAGAGTAAAGCCCAAGACACCAAAAGGAGAAAAATTAAAAGGGGTGGGAGGTGTAAGAAGAGGAGGAGAGAATGTGTGTTTCTTGATTTTAGTAACATTTCTACCAACAAGCCAGGAGCTCTACATTCAGCTCCTAGCAGAAGCAAGCTGTATATATGCTCCATCTGCACAGGTAATTATTTCATTTATTTGTTGACGGTTGGACTCGATCTTAGAGGTCTTTTCCAACCTTAATGATTCTATGATTTCCCTAAACATTCCTCAGCTTGTCTCACTTGCATCTGCAAGTCAAAAGAGCCTGGGGCAGTATTTGCAAAGCCCAAGCATCAGACCCACACAATGGGCAAACCCCATGCATCTCCACTGGAGTAGACAGCTCTGAGGTCAGGCTTGCGCTCCCACAGCAGCCAGACACCGGCACCACTGATCAAGATTACTGTCAGCACCCCTTCCTAGCTGCCTGTGGCTGGAGAATGGATGTCCGGCTGAGCAAAGATGGGTCAAGCACCTCCCTCTTTCTCCTCAGGGATACCTTTGAGAAGTGCGTTGGGTTTTGGCAGCCTAGAAAAAAACACACAACTCGGACTCCCAACAGACCTGCAACACAAGTCAAAATAAGTAAGTGAAAACCCCAGCCCTCCCCTCCCCCCAATAAAACCCATGTATATGTTGATACCAGGTGTGCATTCATTCCTTGGCTGGACATCTCCAGCTAGCATCTCAAAGTCTTGGTAGAAAACTGCAGCCATCCCCAGTGACCTGAGCTCCTCCACAACACCTTTTGGTGCAACTGCAACCACAGTAGGAACGACACAAGCAGTAACATTCATTTCAGTGTTACCGTAGTTCTTAAAATAAATGCTCTTGAATCAAACGCCACTGCTTAATAGGTAACGTGCGCCATATAAAATGTTGTTTTCCACCGTGCCTAAGTTTTGGAGCACATCACTTATAGCAGGTTTTGTTGGGGTTTTTTTTTTTTGGTTGGTTTTTGTTGTTTTGTTTTTTTTTTTCTCAACAAACTGGAATCGAGGATGAGTTAACCCAGAATTAACCCAGAATTGATTCAGACTTATGCTAGGAGTGACTGACAGGTCAATTGATAGCACAGCTGCTAAGTGGCCTCTACAAAGCTGGTCTCTGTCCAGTCCCTAAAGAAACAGGTGCCCACGCTACTGAAGTCAGCAGCATGGCTGTATGAATCCCCACCCGAGGGCAGGCCTGTCAGGCTCAACCACATCAGCCACCAGAGCCAGGTGATCCTCTGAACAGCATTTTATTCTGAAATGAGCCCCATACACGGAACAGTCAAGGTACTCTACACAAGGCTTTTGTTTCAAGTCCAACAGACACTCCTGATTTTTCAATTTACAAATAACTAAAAAAACCCCACCCCCCAGCATAAAAATGTAACACAGATCTTCCATTATCTCCAACATATTTAGTCCTCAAAATTTGGTTTTGCACTGTTAAGATGGCAGATTTGCTTAGGTTCCAGGGAAGACTGTTCTAATGAGAAATGGCCCAATGAGACATACCCAAATCTTTTATACTCTCCACCTTCAAAGAATTAGGTCCAGAAAACAAGAACTCGCAAGCACAGTCATGGAGTCAACTTTTGAATCAGCACAGCAGCATCCCAACCTTGGCTTCAGAAACTGCGCTTTGCAGTGGCAACCCAGGCCAATTAGTGTTGGTCGTACTGCTCTCCCACCTCTCAGCAGGGTGGTCAGAGCACAGGCAGCAGGCAGAGACCCCGTAGTTCTCAAGGCAGAGGCTTTCTGCCTCTCAGAAAAAGGCCCTTTTGCCCAGGCTTCTTTGTCTGCTTGGTTTACAGGCACAGTGCCTAAACTCTGACCCATTCCCAACACCTCTAAGAAAAACAGACCAGGTAAAATTAAGTCAGTTTCTTTCAGCCCCACTCCCTTCTCCCTGCCAACCCCATCATCCCATTCAGGGAAAAGGTAGTGGTCCAAATGTCCCATAAAACACAAGTGCCACACAACCCACTTGAATCCGGCTTCCATATACATCTTGAAGAACAAGAAAAAAAAGGGGGGGGGGGGGAAAGGACTTCACACACAAACAATTTTCACACTTTTAATGTAATGGCACCCTAGTTAAGTTTACAGTACTTTCATCTCCACTAGATACTGTGTTTCAAAAGTATAATGGGAAAAAACAAACACGAAAACCCCACTATTTTTTGTAATTTTTTAGAAACTCAACCATTTGGAGTTACATATGCATAAATGCCTTTCAAAAAATTGTTAAGAATTGTATTTTTCACCCTCACACAACAAAAAATAGGTTTTGCTGGGTCTTTTCACAAGATATGGAGATCAAAGATGGCACTTAAGAAAATTCTGAAGTCAGGGGTGTCATAAGGTTATATCAGGACTTCCGCTGGAGAGCCTGCCATGAAGCAAACACTATAAATAGGAAAAGAATGTGCAAGAGCTCTGAATAAGCGAGAAGCACAACATGTTTTGCAAGCTTGTGTTCTGATAGCCATGGAACTGAAGACTGCTGGCTGAGGAAAGCCTGCCTGAATTTCTTCAGCTAAAGTCTATTCAAAGCATACGCATCATAGGAGGTCATATGGATAGCAATACACTAGACTCTGCAATACTAATGACGAGCTCACCTTTGGGTTTTACCTTGGATCAACAACCAGAACAAGCAGGTCACTTTGAGAAGCCATAGGAATAACAGGAAGCATTTGTTGGTTTTCCTATGACAAGTAATTAAGAGAACCAATACGGAAGCAGATAAACTAGGTAGAACTCTTTTTAAGGTACTATCAGCTAGAAAACTAGCAACCCTATCGTTTTATTATCCATTTCATATTCTGACTTTAAAGAGTTACCGAAAACAAGTACACTTTGTATGAATAAAGTCTGGAGCATCCTTAAAGAGGGGAAGCTAACCTAGAAGCAGCCAAGGACCCTTGATTTTCACCTAAAAGCTTAGCCTGAAAGATGGTCAACTCATACAGTCACTTAAAACAGACTTATGTTTTGGGGGTGGCTGTGTTTTCTACAATTTACAGTGCTTATTTTAGCTTTTATTCCTCTAATTCAGGATTAGGGAATGGACCCAAGTTCATAACCAGAGAAAACTACCTTTGGAGAAGTCAATGGTTTGGTTCTAGTAGGAACTTTAAATATTCCTTCTCCCATGCCTAAGAACTGCTCATTCCACTGTTTCCTTTTTTTTTTTTTAAGTAAGAAAATATTCACTAGGCTAAGAAAGGCATTAACATTTTACCTTTGCATCCTGCTTCTAGAGTTGCCTCCCACCTCTAAGTTCCAGCAGTTATCATCCCTAAAGGACATTCACTAATGCTCTCTTATATTTAATACTAAAGGCCACATCCTTCCAAAGTCTTATCAGTGTGAACAATTCTCCTCAAATGCAAACAGAAATGCCCTCAAAAAAACCTTGATATTTGTGAGAGAAAGTAATTCAGAACTTTAAGTTAATAATTTGTTCACTTGGATGCCCATATGATATGAATCAGGCAGATAATTTGATTCATGCACAGGACAGATGGAGTATGTTGAAGAAAAAAATGCAGAAATCTACATGAATTACAACTTTTGGTTGAATCATATATTAATTATACAGAAGAAACTAAAAATCTCTACTTACACAGAAAAAGGGTGGAAATAACACAAACACTCACTCCAGCACTTGTCTACTAGAAGAATATTGCACATTCCGATAATGTTGCACAAATTACTGGCTTTTTATAAAGACCATATATGAGGTATTAGTCTATTAATAAATAAAGAAGAACATGGAAAAGGAAAAGCACTTAATATAATGCAACAATCCATTCCAAGTATTTAGTGAATGAAAACTGAACAAGCAGTAATACATACCCTTGAGGGGAAGGTTAAGGTTACTTAGCAAGTAGGCAGCTTCAATATCCATCCAAGAAGCGAAGGGTTAAATCTCTTTTGATAAAGATTTTAAGAACACAAAGCCTATTTAGAACACGGCTGTTTAAAATGCTCACTTTGCTCATGTAATCAATCTGAAAGGTAAATTCTTATCTCACAATTCTAAAGGGACAGCAATATGTGGGTGACAGCAATCTTATCAAGGGGAACCAATTTACTACACTAAACCTGTATTACTAGTTAAGAAATAAAACAAAACTTTTGGATTGACATCAGTTAAAATATTCAGGAGTTTTGTTGTGGGGTTTTGGGGTGGTTTTTTTTTTTCCTTTTTTTTTTTTTAAATAGTTTAGACTGGTTATGGATTTCCATGGTGCTGAAATTGATAGCCATTAGCACTGTCCTTGTTATCAGACAAGGCATTAGACGAATACAACAATTGTAATTTTCAGTTTTACTCTGTGTCTATGCTAAGAATTCACCTTTCAAATCACAACACTGAAAAATTCCTGCTGACAGGTAATAAATCTGTCAATCTAAACACTATCTATTTTTTTATTTAGAACCTTCCAGAAACACTAGGAATCTGTAGGCAAGTTTATCTTGTTTAAGTTCACAACAGCACAGAGGAGTATTTAAGTTCAATAAACTCAGCTATGGAAACTACATTGCACACATGGTAACACAGTAAGCATAAATCAAGAGTGTTTTCGGTATGTTCTTCCAAACCTTGTTAAAGAGATATTTGTATTTTGTGGGGGAAAAAAAAGGTACCTTGTGTGCACACAAACTTACTTACATGAATACCCCTTAAATAAGTCAAGGGTTATTCAAATCCCAAAATCTTTTCAGGCCAATGAAAGGCTGTTTGGAAATAAAAGTAATTCGTACATCACTCTCCTAGGTGAAGCACTATCTTAACATATTCCCTCTTGTTATTTTCCAACTTTAAAAAGTGTTTCATTATTAATACATTTGCAATGCTGGACAGAGTAACAAAGATCCAGGTAAGTCATATTTCTGCTGCTATTTTGTGTAAAGTATTTAATTTGCACAGTAAGTCCATATCAGGTCAATACTGCAAGTGAAAACTTGGAAAGATGTGACAAAAAAAGCAGCACTTCAAAATTAAAGTATCTCCTCTGCTGCAATCCATGCACCAGTAACTCAAACAGTCCTGAATTGGCATATATGAAAAAATATTACATTTCTGAAATTAAAAATATGTATCTTGTGTTGAAGTTCAAATTTACGTAAAGCGTTTACTAAGCTGAAATACATATAATTTCTCCTGTCACGAGATTATTTCTCTCCCATTCTAAGTAGTTACTGAGACATCTACTGCCCAAATGCATGTTGTTTCATCTACAATTTCTTTATAGCAGTTAAGTGGTTTTTTAGAACAAACAGTTGAAAGAATTTTTTCCATGTTAGCAAAAAACCAAGAAATATTATGAAGATGTTGAAAGAAGAAGAAAAGAGATGAAAAGAAAGGAAACATTATTGTCCAGAACAGTCTGTATACGTGGTAACCATGTTTCCTCGTCTCTGAGTGACAGTCCTACAGTGCTTGCTGGATCCATGAAACCTGCTATCAGTTCGCACTGCGTGTCGGTGTGCATTTTCAAAGTCACTAAACGAAAACATCTTTTCCATATTTTCAAACACATCATCAAACAGTCCACCTCCAAAGGAGAACTCTTGGAAAGAACGTCTTTGCCGATTGTGAGCTTCCCGATGACTTCGGAAGTGATTTTCAAAGTGCTTTTTTGACCGTGAGTTTTGACTGAAGAGGTCAAAGTCTTTGAACAGATCGTCAAAGTTGAAATTAAATGACTGATGGAACGGGCTTCCATTATTTCCTTGTCCTCCATGATGGACAAACTGATCATATTCTTTTCGTTTATTCTCATCTGATAATGTTTCATATGCTATTTCCATTAAAAAAAAAATTAGAAAGTTTATTCACATTACCATTTAAGGAAAAAAAAAAGAAAAAAGAAACCCATACACAAATACAAAGAAGAACAGCTCTCTCCCACTCCCTCACCAGGACAAATTTCAAGCAACTTTCATTCAACATGCAAGCGCAATCAAGCTCAACATTTGTTTAACTTTCTCCAAGACAAAATAAGCTGTCTCAAAATAAATAGTTATTTATTTATAATAATAAATATAGCTATACTATGACGATAGATTATATCCTCAAAATTTTAAATTCACATAATACAACTTAGTTTAACTAGCAATAAAGATTAGTGTTTATATTTGAAAGAAAATAACAATGGCACATGGCGATCAGAAAGACCGAAGGAGAGAGGATGAGTTAGGAGCTCTACCTAACAAAATGAACTGCCTGCTGCATTCCCATCACAGAAACACAGTGCGATGTCTGCAAAACTACTTGCCAGCCAGCCAGCAAGTTCTAGCTACACCGCAGTTACAACCGAGCAACAAGATAAACATCAAGGAGATAAAATAAAGGGAATGAATTTCCCCCATGCCCAAATTCTCGATTTCTCAAAAGTCCAACAATAAACATAGATTTTGTGATTGGATATACCTGAAATGGAATTAGGTTTCCATCCGATCTTTGATCCAGAACTACAGCTACTGGTGTTCCAAGGCAGAAACTCTGACAGATGATATACCCATTCTGATAACATTAAGCATTTTAAACGCTTCCATTTTCTTACCTATCAAAGGCTTGCAACTATTCTATATACTTCAACACTTACTTAAGAGTTCCCAATTCCTTCTGTAATAGGTGCTAACAACTACAATAAGTATGTAACAAGACTGTCCCTCCCTTTCACTATATTAATAACTACCCTTCTTTCAAAAGAACTTTTCTGCAGACAAGAGGGTAAAACCCAGAAATCTCTTATTAGCTTAGTTAGGAGAACTACACAAACAGATGGATGTTGTAACAGAGTCTATGGGGAGCAGAACTAGGAACACCTTATTTTTCAGCAAGCCTTTTTCTATTCTCGATTATTCACTTCTGCTATTACATTTTATCACAAAACACTTATGAATGGTGTATTCCTAGGATCACAGGCTAATTCGGGTTGGAAATGACCTCAGGTGGCCTCTAGTCTAATCTCCTGCTCATAGGGTCAGTTATGAGATCCGACTGGGTTACTCAGGGCTTTATCCAGTCATTCCTGAAAAATTGCCAAGAATGGAGACTGCACAACCTCTCTAAGCAACCTGTTCCAACACTGGCCTATACTCAAGGTGAAAAAGTTTTTCCTTATAACCACTCTGAACCTCTTGCACCTGTTCTCTCGTACTCCCACCATGAACCACTGAAGCACCTTGCTGCGTTTTTTTGATAATCTCTCCGTAGTTACTGGAAGGTTGCTGTTAGGTCCCCCTGAAGCCCTAGCAATCCCGAGCTGGATCTTACTAGACAGATCAAAAAGATAAGAATTAACCTCCTAGGGCTAAAGTTGTCCTACTGCCAAGTATTTTGTGTGACAAAAGGCATAAGCCAAAAAGCCTAATAAGCAGGAAAGCATAAACTGTGTAAAAGGCCTGCCTCATGTGCAAGGACACAGAAATAAGTCAGATATTGATATTGGACATTTGACACCACAAAAGTAGAATTAAGAAAAAAAAAATCTTTTTACCTCTTATTCAGTAAAAACAGAGCATACTTAAGTTACCACATTTGCTCACAGTTATAAGCCATGTATCGAATTATTAAGACTAAGGTTAGCATATACTACCTTCAGCAATTTCTCTAAACTTTGCTTCTGCACCAGGACTCTTATTTTTGTCTGGGTGGTATTTCATAGCCAGCTTGTGAAATGCCTTCTTGATCTGGCGGTCAGATGCATTTTTTGGAACTCCTAAGATATCATAATAGCTCTCTGTAGCCAGTATTAATTCAGTTATCATTAAAACGCAGAGAGCAAATGTGAAGACAGATTGTGTAGTTGCCATTTCTCTGGTTCCTAGAAAGAAAAAGAAATATACTTGAAGAACTAGTTATTTCAGGTTCCACAACAACTTAAAGGTACAACTATAAGCTGAAAGAGGAAGACCTGTATGTTTCAAGAGTCACTCAGTGACAGACAGGTAAGCACTTTGTTTCATTCCTGTCAACAAACTCCATTCCCCCAGTTTCATAATCACAGAATATGTAAATGAAAATACAGCAAATTCACATTTCACGTACATCACGAGCACGCTTCCATGTTCATCTTTGTTTTACACCTATCTCTAACTGCACATTCTCCCACAGAGCTGTGAAGTAAATATACAATATGTTTCACTGTATCAAACAGTTCATGCTGGCATACCTGAACTAGCTTTAAACTAATCCTTGAGTTCTAGGACCATAAACACAACAGCTCTAAATTAAGCACAGGCTGCAAAAACCCACTCAATTCTGGAAGACCAATTCACTGATTAGCTTGTGCGACAATAAAAGCCTGAAAACACAACTGGCCTGGAGATCGACTGTGAGGTGCAGGAAGACAAGACTGTTAGACACTCATGCTCAGCTTCAGGAGGTCATTTAACTGACCTAAGGAGAACATGATAAAGAGTAAAACACTCATTTAGAGTAGAGAGTTCAGTCAAGTAGGGCACATTTTCCTTTACTTTACAATGGGCTGGGATTAGCTTACTTTCATATTAGATTGTACTAGAAATAAAAACACCTACCATAACTATGATAAAAAAGAATTCATCTGATAAATTCCACTGCATATAAAGGTTTACATATGAAACCCTCAATATCTGAACTGAACTCAAAAAAGAAGTCTTCTATACAAGACAAGCAGCTTCAACAATAATTAAAAGTTGTAACTATTTTTTTCAGCAACATATTTGTCAAAAAGTTACATTTTAAAACAAACTGATGCTAGAACTCAGGGAAAAAGCTGTGGCATCAATAACTCATAAGAAAAATCAGTTCCACGTAGCCACACAATCTTCCATGATTTTTATGAACGACAGGGTGAACTCTTCCTAACAGAAGAAGAGATCAAGTGATTTTCCAAGGCCTGTGCATATTATATTTAAAACACAGAGTATAGAAACATGAACGTTCAAAGACAGAATGCTGGCTGCCACCTAACCAGCAGGATGTACAAGGCCCCGAACATGCCAGAAGTAACGTGTCCCCCTCACCGGATTACACTGATTTGAGTGTACCATAAGTACAACTCAAAGAGATGAAGTGTATTACTTTCCTGAAAGTTGAATAAACTAACCTTACCGTCTGAGTAACTTAAAGTTCGAATACTTTTAGACCGTATGTGGCCCAAACATTTGTCATGCACAGTTCAAAACCTTTGAATATCAAGTACATAAGACAATTAAGCCTTTAATAGAAAGTCCATATCCTCTAAAGAAAATTAACACCCAAGCACCAAAAACGGAAAAAAAATACCATTTCTAATAGGTAAGTCAGGGGGCTAAAATGAACGTTGCGAGGCAAGAGCAAAAAGCTCGTAAGATTAACGTACCCATGCCCTCTTAAGCATTTATTTGGCTAGCAGCCTGCATGATATCAAGTGTTAAGGAACAGCAGTTGAAACAAACTGTATTTTGATCAGCGCACTTAGATACCAAACTGACAGTTCTTTTCAGTATTCTTTATGCATGATATCAGACATATTTTTAGTACAAGCCTTTCCACATATTTTCTCTCACCACTTCACTAACTTGAAACTTTGCCACTTGGGCACTAAGAACTACACACATGTACATCCTTCAACACTTTTGGGGCTTTCTTCCTGTTTGTGCTTTATAGATTCAGATTTACATCTGCATCTCAAACATGAGATTGTTTTTATTATTTTACTTCATTTCCCCACACCTGCATCACGCTTGTATAATCTCTCTTAAGGCTAACCTTCCTGCTTCTACTATTAAACACTGAAAAGAGCTAAAAAGAGCAGTTTATGTCCTTCGTTAAGAGCCAAATCCTCTTTTATAACTCCCAAGCTCATCACAGCCTGAGAACATCAAGTCACTCCTTTAAAGTTTTCTGCTCTGCCTATCTGAACTTCTGTTATTCTTGATAATGAATTACACCTAAATTTTCCTTTTCCTACAGTTTTACATTAGGATTCCTGTAATGCAGTTCTATGCTATACTGCCCCTAGTTTTATCTGGATTTCTCAAGCATATTTAAAAAAAAAAAAAAAATCAGTACTTAAGTTTCACTTTTTTTTAATAATGTACAGATTTAATGCTGTCCTTGAACAACTCAATGAAACTCAAATATAAGAATAAAAGAAAAATCAAATACAAATGAAACTCCAATATAAGCGGCATTTTAAACTTGTAAGTTTATCACAAAGACATAGTAAGTCTTATGTTTAGACAATATCATCAATTATTGAATTTACTTTTTAGAAAATACCTATTTTATATGCTGTCAGCATCTTAGCATTGCTATTGCTAACTAAGATATTAAATGCCTGATGTCTGCCCTGCCACCCCTAACTATTTTTACAATCCCTTTCAAAATAAAGTATCTTTTAAACACTTATGCTGCTTATGTCCCTTCTCCTTCAGTTTCTCAATCGAAAAGGGACAGATAAGTTTCACTTTCCAGGCTACGCACAGTAGTTACTTAAAACACATTCCAGGATTCGTTAAGTTCGGTATACTTCTTGACATTATGCTCATGCCACAAAACAGTCCTTCCTAACAATTATGAAGAACGACATTTTATTTGGGTACATCTAGCAATAAAGTCAGAGATTTTATTAACACAGATTAACTATTTAACTCTGTTGGATAAGTAGTTACAGAGCTCAACTATTATTAAGCTTGGTATAAAAACTATACCACCTAATGTTTATCAAAAGTATTATAGAGGTGATAACACTCAATCGGTTCTCTATCAGTTTATCAACATTTATCAATAGCTGCACGATGAAGTGATGTTTAAGGATGATGTACCTGGAATAAAATCTGCCATATATAGAAAGTAAGGAGCTACTTCCATCTTGCAATGCAAATGCCCTATTCCATCCCTCTTTGAAAGTAATTAGCAAAGATATTAGGTAAATGCTCATATTCCTTAAGTCTCACATACTCAGAAAATCCACAGCATCACTACTGCTCTGATTACACCAACTGTGATGCACTATCCAGTGGAATCCTGATATCACATAATTATTTCTGCAACCGATTTATTAGTAGTAAGAAAGTTACCGAAGTTTTCCATTGGTTCTCATATCACCACTAACCCGATGAGTAAGCAAGTCTCCTAGACCACAAGCAGCTACAGGAAAGTCCGTCAAACTCCGGGGCTTGGACTTTTCTTTTCTTGGCCTCCCCTATACTGACCGGAGAGCTAATCCAGGAGAAGGCTCCTGAATCTTGCTCTGGAGAACAGGGAAACGAGACAAAGCCTCCCCTGGCATCATCCTCCCTAGCCAGACCCCTAATGAACCTCGCTAGAGCCGTACCACAAATCAAGGCCGAGCCAGAGCTCGGCAGATGATACCAGCGACACTAAGCGACGCTGTCACACCTCCCAAGTCGGACAGGCCTGGTAAAGACCACAGCAGATGGGCCTAGCGAGAACTGAGAGCTCAGAGGGGCCCTAAGGGCAAATAAATCCACCAGAACGAGTCCCAGTGTCCCCCCTTTCCCACACCGTCCTCAGTTCTCCTCCCCCAGCCACCCCAGCGACCCCTAACCTCTCCAGCCCCTCCGCGTCCGCCTTCCCTCCAGCCACCTCAGGACCCCTCCCGCCTTCCCCAAGCCCTTCCACAGCGGCCCAGGCCCTTCGCTGCCGCCCCTCTCC